CTAATTGCAATACCGAGGAAGTCATATTGCAATTACAACAAAAGGATCAGATCGAAACTCAGAAAAGTTTATTTATTTTTTTAAGAAACCAAGCCGAACAAACTTTATCCCCAACGCATTGGCCCTCCCTTCCTTTTCATTTCACTTTCTTCACTCGGGGCCGTTTTCTTCCTTTAGCCCACCGTTTCTTAGTCACCGGATTGAATGTGCCAAAATGGCGAAAGGATTAGATTCTTCCGGAAAATGATTACACTTAAGCTAATCTGGGTTTTACGATTGGAAATTCAATCGAACTCATCCACGTGTCCAAAGTTTATCCTTTGCCATTAGGATGACGTCAGCTTCCATGACTCCATTTTTACTTCCCGCCCACGGCAACAGCTGATTATTATCCTTCCGATTCCCGTCTTCTATTTTTCTTCTCTTGTTTCTTGTATTTAGCCCAACAATGCCAGGTCTAGCCCAACCCCGAATTTCAGTTAAAAAGAGTGCAAGTGAGTAAACCGTTTCGATTTCTGTCTCCAAATATTGATTCCCTTGGCCGGGATGTTAAATCTCAGACGCTGGGTTTTCTTATACATACTAACGGTCGTCGTAGCAGCGGCACAGCCAACCGCCCCACCAAGGGGAGACTCGTACGGGCTTTACTCTCACTTCGACCCCTCAATCGCTATCGTCGTTATGGTCCTCGTCTGCGCTTTCTTCTTCGTCGGCTTCCTCTCCATTTACATCCGCCAGTGTAACGAATCCAACGCCATTGCCACCGCGTCGGCCGTGGCTGCAGCTTCCCCTGGCGAAAGGTCTCGGCGGAAAGGTCTTGATTCGGCCGTGATTGAGAGTTTCCCGGTCTTTATATATTCTTGCGTGAAGGACCTTAAAATGGGGAAAGGAGCGTTGGAATGCGCAGTTTGTTTAAGCGAGTTCGAAGACGACGAAGCGCTACGTTTGATACCGAAATGCAGTCACGTGTTTCATCCCGATTGTATCGACGCTTGGTTGGAATTCCATGTGACTTGTCCCGTTTGTCGAGCTAAACTCACTCCCGATTCCGATGCAAAACCAGTAGAGTCAAGCTCAAATGTCACTGAGTTGAACTCGAATAATAACGAGTGGTCAAGTCCTCCAATAACTCAACGAGTTGAAGAACAAAATGAGCTCGTCATTGACGTGAATGAAGAAGCCCGACCGCAAGCGAAAATAACGGGGAGGTTTCCACGGTCTCACTCGACGGGTCACTCACTTATTCAACCAGGGGAGAACGTGGAAAGGTATACCTTGAGATTGCCAGAGGAAATTAAGAAGCAAATTGCGAAAAGCGGGAGGTTGAAGCGGACGAGGAGTTACGACGTCGTGCTGGGAAGGGAAGGTAGTTCTAGGAAAGGCGAAGGAAGTAGTAGAGGGAAGAGTTATATCGATCGGTGGGTACTTTTAAGGACTCCACCGCTTGTTTCGAGGACGGGTTCCGTGAAGCCTCAGAAAGCTGGCGCTGGAGATGGAGATGGGTCGAATTCATGGAGAGGGTTGACGTCCGTTAAAGGGAAGTTAAGTTGTCTTAACTTGAAGGTTGAACAAATTGACAAAGAAGAATCCTCGGCTCGGCCGCCGGTATAATTGTTGTTCAATCTGTGTACTACTGTAATTATAAAATTAAAGTAGTTTAGGGTTTTGGTTTTTTAGTTTAATTCTCGATTTGGATAATCACAGCTCCATCAAAAGTAATGAGAAAATTAATTTGGGAAAGAATGGATTAACAAATACTATGGTAATCCTGATTTATCCCATTTTAATCTTGCTTAATAGTATTGTTTGATTTTAATTTTTTGGGCGGAATCTTTTAGAACGGAATCTTCATCTGAATAGGGTTCGATTGGAATGTGGAAGTGGGGGTGAATAAATGTAGGTGAGGATCTTTCATATTACCAAGTTTTAAATTTTTAATGCAAGCTTGGTCCATGAGTGCAAGTTGAAGGCAATGGTGAAAGGTTAGGCCACGTCTTTGTCGGAGTAGAGAAGAATCGCTTTGTAAACAACGCAACCAAGTCATGGCAACACATGTGTAGCGCATTCATGAGAATCATCTGTTCCACTTTGGATTACCCGTGAACCATGTTCTATCTTAGAGAAAATGGTATTAGTATGGGGTTATAGGTGCCAAATTTGGCAAGATTTGGGGTAATCAGACGCTCATGAAGAAGGAAATAAAATGAAGATTTGACACGACTTTTTTTAAATAGAGATACATGCATTTGTTATTAGATCAAAATATTCAAACATTTGTGATTAATTCAGAATATTCAAAGGTTCTAAACCAAAATGATCTTGTTGCTTTAATTGGACTAAAAACAGGTAAACTGAGTGCACTCAGTATTTGTATTTGTATTTGTCTTCGCCTTGCATGAAAATGACGCTAAGCAGATTGGGTGTCACGTGACAGTCTGAAATCGACCCAGAAAGACAAAAGTTACGAAACCAAAGTCAGGTTCGATGGACTTAAATTAGGCCCATTAAACAGCTCTTGTTGTTGGGACCCAAAGTCAGGTACAGCATAATTCCTTATGGTTTTTGTTGGATTTCTTCCTTCATTTTCTTTTTTAAAATATAAAATTAATAAGATTATTAGATTTCCTAGAGGTGACAAATATGATTTATGTATTTGTTTCGAGGAAAACGACAACTTGATCCTAAGTTTTGAAACATATTTCTGCTTAATAGCAATGTTGATTAATTTTGAAATGCAGAGTACAATAGTACATGAATGACAAAACATCATGGTTTTTTTTGGTGAATGACATTGATGTGTATGTAAGCAGAAAAATGATAGAATATATAATTTTTACATTCCAGTAGTTTGTCAACCACCAACTAGTTTTGCGATTTTAATTTTTTCATGCGAAGGCCCTCTAAATCTTAGTTTACATGCATGAATAGGATGGAGGTTAAACTCAAGTTTTGATACGATCAAGCATTGAACATAACAGAAGTTTAGAACAAAAATTATTTGTTTTTCTTTTCATGAATTTTAGGTCACAACTTACATGTATGAATTATTCACTAAATTAAAGAAAAGCTATCCATGGTTCAAAGCTTTTTCCTTTTTTTAATTTTTCATCTTTTGGGCCCAAACCCAAAGAAGAGGGAAAAAACAAACATATAAAGCTGAGTTTGACTTTTGATAACGTTTGAATTAAGTTGTCAACTTGTCATTTTCTAATTTTCTTTCTACGAGGGGCTAATTTTCTTAAATCTCAATTAGCTATTTCAGTGATAGTTATCTAATTAATTGATAATGATATATCTCACAATCAGTTCATAAATGTTATAGACATATCCCCAGGACCAGATAGAGAGAGGTTTTACTTGGCCCGGTGGGTAAACCGACTAATTAATAGTATGACCTGGAACTCCACAACTTGTTCTCGTGCTCGTATAAATATTGATTAGTAAATTAACTTGATACCAATTGGAGTTATTGCTCAGGTTCAGGATAAGAGCTTAGGCTTGAATGCTGTTTATTTTCTATCAAACATAGTTAAAAGTGTTATAGATTTTACATTAATAAGAATGAAATGAATATTGAATTTATAAATAAAATCTTTTATTCACTTAGAAAAATATGTTTTTAGATATGTGTCTTTTCAATTGAAAACATATGCCCATAACATAAAGCTTAAAAAAAAAAAAAAGACAATACAATTTCACCATATGTTGTCACATAATTAATTATCAAGGGACGCTCAATCTTTCTTCCACCCAAAGTCTCTTGTCTTCACCACATTTTGTATAATAAACAAAATGATTGATTGACATTGATATCACATTGAAGGTTTCCTTTGGGTTTGGAGCTTGGTTTCTAAGCTAAAGAGATATTTAACATAAAAGGGCATCTTTAATTACATGGCCTTTGGGATGAATCTAAGGTATAGCTGAGAATAGGAGTGGTAGTTGCAGAAGCACTTAATCAGAAATGGCTGCTCATCGGACACGGAATCAAATTGGTGGATGGAGCGGACCCAATTTGCGCAGGTCATTTGTCATCGTCCTCAATAAATAAGTCCAATCTAGTGTTGGCTGCTCAGTGTCAGATCTATTTAATTCAATACTACTTGGCAATTTGGGGAGGGGGAATTTGTTTAATCCTCTTGAATTTCTTCAGACAAAGAAAATTGAAGCATTTTCTACTCTCTCACTATCACTTTGAGAAGTGAGCAGGTCAATGCGTTGGGGTCTTGCGGTCAAAAGAAATTATTAGTACATTTGCTGGATCACGGGATGAAAATATTATAAAAACGGGGTTTGAGTTATCTTAAAAGTGAGATTATCTCGTAATCATTAAAACTCAAATCTTGAACAATATGCTGTTTAAATATGATGCAACCGCAAACCTTTCTTTGCAGCTTTATGCATAGCCTAGAATTTAGAGAAAAAAACTAATAGCAAAGTGTCATTAGCTTCATGGCTGATCATAAATCCTTGAAAAAGTTTTCCCTTTTTCTTTGCGAATCGAGAGGATGAATGCATAAACACGGCAAGTTATTGGAATTGGCTACAGTTAACAAGACAGAGGTCAAGTAGAAGTTTTAAGTATTTTGAATCGAATTCAACTCAGATTATATAGTTAACTTTGAACTTGATTAATCTTCACTCAAATATGTAGAGCTGTCCACACTTGAGCTCATTAATGACCCTAGTCATAAATCAACAAAATTTTTAAATAAGCGCATTATTTACATAATTAAGTGAAGATTAATCAAAGTTGAAACTGATAAAAAGATGGCTTGAAAGGGTCTGATTTTTCAAAAACATCAGCTCTTAAAGCTTAATATTTCTGCCATATTAGTTGGCTTTTTATATTAAAAAAATAAAACAAAATGTTTCGCTATATCTCTGTTGATTTTCCCAAAAGTTTGACCACGTGCCCAATGTCAATGTGTCTACGAACAATCCTTGTGCCTGGAAAATAAAAAAATAAAAAAATAAAAATCCTTGCAACGTGAGAGTGAGCGCATTTAAAGAAACGCCGCTACGGCAACCATAATGAAATCAGCCCCACAGCATAACCCAGGCCTTCATAAATTCCCAGTCTTTTCCTTTCTTCTTCGAATTTCTTTCTTCTTTCTTCTTTGTTCGTTCCTCTAATGGGGCGCATCACAGTTATCAGGGACTTGATAGGAGTCATCAAAGACAAAGCTTCTCAAAGCAAAGCAGCTTTGCTTTCCAATCCCAAAACCTTATCTCTCCACCTTGCCTTGCTAAGAGCCACAACCCACGACCCCTTCACGCCACCAGACCCAAGGCACTTGGCCGCTCTACTTTCCTTCGGTCATAGCTCACGCGCCATCGCTGCCACCGCCATCGAGGCCCTCATGGACCGCCTCCAGACCACCCGTGATGCCTCCGTTGCCATCAAGTGTCTATTCATGATTCATCATATCATCAAACGTGGCAGCTTTATTCTTCAAGATCAGCTCTCTGTTTTCCCTGCCACCGGTGGCAGAAACTACCTTAAACTTTCCAACTTCAGAGATAATACGACGCCGTTAACGTGGGAACTTTCGTCTTGGGTTAGATGGTGCGTTTTGTTTGTTGCTTTGCCATTTTGTCTCTGCTTTTGTTTTCACGAAATTCTAAGCATATTTCGCTCTGAATTGATCAATTTTATAAGAAAAAAAATTGTAATCCTAATATTAATTTTATAACAATTCTAAACAAAAATTTTGCAGGTATGCCTTATACCTTGAAAGTCTGTTGTCAACATCAAGGATTTTGGGGTTCTTTCTATGTTCAACTTCAAGCAGTGTAGACAAAGATAAAGAAGAAGAGAAAGTATCGTCCCTGATAAACAGTGAGTTGATTAGAGAGATAAACTCTTTGGTGAATTTGCTCGAACAAATTTCCAAAAGGCCCGATTCTTTACATGCTAATGGCAACATATTGGTGGAGGAGATTCAGGGATTGGTGGGTGAGGACTATTTGTCATCAATCAACGAGGTTTCCATCCGGGTCGGTGAGGTTAGGGAGAGACTGAGTAGTTTGAGCTTCGTTGACTCGGTTGAGTTGGTGTGTGCTTTGAAGAGATTGGAAGATTGTAAAGAGAGATCGTTAGCACTTTCGCAAAGGAAGAAAGTGCTGATAGATACTGTTTGGGGTTCAATAAGTGAAATAAAGGATCAAGTTGGGAGCAGTAAAGTGTACAGGGAAGAGGGGAGATTGTTGACAATGGGAAGCAGGAACAAGGTTAGCGAGTCAGCTCGGTTCGGGGAGCCAGTTCTGAAGCATGGCGACTCAGTCAAGTTCTGTTCAGGGAGGTTTCCAAGCTTCAATAATCTTTCTTTCCGAAGTTACGAGTCGGTTGAACCACGTGCCTGACGGAGATTGTAAATTCTACTGTACAAACCAATTTGAGATTGTATGTATTCTACTTGCAAATTAAGAATCGGTTCTTCTCACTAATTAAATTGTTGAAAAATATAATTATTATTGGAAAAAAAAACTGGGATTAAGTGCTATCAAATGAATTTCACGTCTCATCTTTGATTATTACTTTGAGCTTGGCGGTATAATAGTCCGTCCCTTGTAAAGCCTAAGAGATTGTTGGTGTTGTTAAAATGAATTGATAGTGATGTTCGTTGGTGGTTGAGCAAAGCCAGGACCAAAACCCAAGCTGGTTTTAACTTTTCACAATGTTAAATAAAGAGGAAGCAAAACATAATCAGTTAGGTTTGTTTTCGTTATCAAAGGAGTCGCTTTGTCGTGACCAAGTCATTCGATTAACACTGGAGTGGCCGGGCCCTCCGTTCCCTTATCAGGCCAACCTTTTTTGAATTCCTTCTATTGTTATTTGTCAACGCCATTAACATCTGCGGCCACTCAATTCCTCGTAACATATTGCCTACGGCTAATTCCAATCACTATGAAATTTATAAAATAGGAGACAATTTAGTTAAACAATTGTTAACATATATGACATGATTAGTAAATTTTAGAATAAAAAATTAATCAAATTAATTGACTAAATTGATGAATTAATCATAAAATTAGATGAAATTAACGCATACTAAGATTCAAATCGAAACAAAATGTTATCAAAAAATAAAGTTAAATAAAAAGAAAAATTGAATAGTATTGGGTCCATTTTTGATCCATAAAAGTTTACTTGTGAAAATTAATTTCGACGGAGTAAGGAGCCCAGTCAAACCTAATTACTTGTAGGGGTAACCTACGCTGATTGATTAACCATTTGGACTAAAGGTGTAGGCATGGGAATCCCTCTGAAAGAATAATAATAATAATGCAAAACCCATGGTCCACTTAACCGCTAGTAAGGACGCAGGCGAACGTTAGAGCACAATCATGTCGCCAATTTGTTTGTGTAATGCGCTGAATTCCGTGTCATAAAGCCTCATTTTTCAAAAGCAAAATACAAAGTGTTGTAAAGTTATGACAGTTTGAAATTTTGCATCGATGAAGTGACTGGAAGCAAGGAATCCTATTAGCCGCACTCACTGGCCATGGTGCTCCGCGTTGATACGATTCCACAAGCGAATCCTAAAAGGGGATCTTGGGGTGTATTTGCTTTGATGGAAAAATGGAAGGCAGAAAGCAAAGATTTAATTGACACATTCAACACGTAAAAAACTAAAAAAATTGATTTCATGTTGGCAATTTATGGTGACTTCCTTCGAGGAAAGCTCAAATTTAAACCAGCTCTTTTTACTTATTTAAAATAAAGGGAAGAATATGCTTAAACCAAGTAATTTTGGAACTATTTACTATTTACTTGGCAAGTAAATCGTTTTATTTACTATTTGAATTGTATAAAAATGTGATGAGGGACGGAAACAATGGACATGAAGCATGAACAAAGCAACACTAAAGAGTGAATTAAAGGAAAAATGGAAAACCATCATTGTATGAAAATTCTAAACTCAATGTCTAAACCAATGAATACACTGTTTAGTACTTTAGTCCAAATTTATCTGTTTTTTATTCTGCAGGCGTTAAAAGGACTGTCAGACACAGCAAGCAAAAAAAATGAAGTAACAGACGTTAAAAGGACAAAAAAATTCTAGTATTATATTTGAATGTTCTAAAAATAAAAATAAGATAAAAAATTAAGAGAAATAAGGTCCCACCGAGATTTGAACTCGGGTTACTGGATTCAGAGTCCAATGTCCTGA